AGTACCAACTCGATACTGTTGGACTCTCGTATGCGAAATGCCAAAACTGTGGAATACGGAACTTCTGCTAGTGGAAGCTATTCTACTCAAGTATCGATATCACGACGGGTGCTCAGGCCGGAAGTGGTGTTGCGGTAGAACCCAACCTCGCGGATAGAATCAATAATTGGAAGCCTGTCAGCGGAAGAATGGTAATCCTCTGACTAAAACGATGACCCCATTACCTTGCAAGTCTGTGCGACCAATTTGGAAGTAGATTATGAATCCTTCCTTGAGGAAGTGGAATTTGCTCGGTATGAAGTGCCAACGACAGAACCAATCATTCCAATTGGCGATTTCAATAAGCATGTCGAAGCAGACATTGAAAAGTGGAAAGGAGTGACTAGAGAGAATGACCCTACCGACCTTAACAGCCACACCATAAAGTTACAACGGCTTTCTTCATACAACGGACTGCCTATTATGAACACCTTCTTCGAGCTTCGAAGCGTGCCTCATGATACCTGGTACAGGAACAGAGGTGCACAGAGGTCAATGATAGATTTGATGATCGCATGTTCTGACTGATTACGCTCTGTAACGGAAGTTTGGGTTAAGAAAGGTGGAGAGTTGTCAACCGAGTATCATTTTATTGGTACTATAAAATGTAAAGGATAGAGTACCATGCGGCAACCAGAAAATCAGATGGGAAACATTATCTTTAACGCTTAAGGAGATCCCGGTGATAACCGATGACGTGGAAACCGAAAGTTCTTTGAGAGCAGCATACATTCACAGCTGCCACAGAATGGTACGGTTTCAAACGGGTTATCTGGCCTGTAGCGTTGAGATCAGAAACAAACTTAGTGGTGGGCACGAGAGGTACAATTGGCTGTCACCGAGAAAAAGGCTGCATTCAAGGGATGGCTTCGAAGGAATGGGCTATCAACTCGTATGCGGCATAAAGAACAGTGCAAGCGAGCAGCAAAAGTTGTGGCGAAAGCCAAAGCTGAATCCTGAGAGAAGTCTGATGAGGAGTTAGAGTCGAATTTCCAGACGGTAAACACGGAATCCGGACAGACCATGCACCGCCTCCGATGTGAAACGAAGAACAGTCTCAGAAGCCTGAAGGACAAGTTT